GTGGGCACGTAGTGCTATGAACTTTCCTCTCAGCACTGCTTTCAGAGTGTCCCATAAGTTTGCATATGTTGTGTCTTCATTCTCATTGAATTCCAGGAAGTCTTTGATTTATTTTTTTATTTCTTCATTTTCCCAGGGATCGTGCAATTGTGCGTTGTTCAATTTCCATGAGTTTGTAGGGTTTCTGCAATTTGTGTTATTGTTGAATTCTAATTTCAATGCATGGTGGTCTGATAAGATACAGGGGGTTGTTCCATTTTTTTGTATTTGTGGAGATTTGCTATGTTTCCTATTATGTGGTCAATTTTAGGGAAGGTTTCATGTTGCACCGAGAAGAAGGTATATCCCTTTGTGTTTGGGTAGAATGTTCTATAGATGTCTGTTAAACCCAGTTGGGTCATAACTTCTATTAGTTATTTTGTTTCTTTGTTAAGTTTCTGTCTGGAGGTCCTGTCTAGCGGTGAGAGTGGAGTGTTTAAGTCTCCTTCTATTAGTGTGTGAGATTTTATGTGCGATTTGAACTTCAGTGATGTTTCTTTCACAAATGTGGGTTCTTTTGTATTTGGGGCATAGATGTTCAAACTTGAGAGTTCATCTTCATGGACTTTGACTTTGATGAATATGAAATGTCCTTCTTCATCTCTTTTGATTGATTTTAATTTGAAGTCTAGTTTGTTAGATATTAGGATTGCTACACCAGCTTGTTTCTTGGGTCTGTTTGATTGGAAAATCTTTTCCCAACACTTTACTCTGAGGTAACGTCTGTCTTTGACGTTGAGATGTGTTTCCTGTATGCAGCAGAAGGATGGGTTCTGTCTTCGTATCCATTCTGCTAGTCTGTATCTTTTTATAGGCAAGTTGAGACAATTGACACTGAAGGATATTGATGACCATTGATTGATGATTTTTGTTTGTGCTTGATTTATTGGTAGTGGAGTTATTGTGTAGTTTCTCCTCCCTTTTTCTTTTGGTGTTTTTTTTAAAGTGGGATTATCTATTGCCTGTGTCTTTGTGAGTGTAGTTATCTTCGTTAGGTCTAGGTTTTCCTTCCAGCACTTTCTGTAGAGCTGGATTCATGGATACATATTATTTAAATCTGGCTTTGTCATGGAATATTTTTTTCTTCATCTATGGTAATTGAAAGCTTTGCTGGATATAGTAGTCTGGGCTGGCATCCTTGTTCCCTTAGCATTTGTAGGACATCTGTCCCGGATCTTCTGCCTTTCATAGTTTCCATTGAGAAGTCAGCTGAAGTTAGGACAGGTCTGCCTTTATATGTTACTTGGCCTTTTTCTTTAGCTGCTCTTAATATTTTCTCTTTATTCTCTAGGTTTGATGTTTTGATTATTACATGGCGAGGTGACTTCTTTTTCTGGTCCAGCCTAATTGGTGTTCTGTAAGATTCTTGTATTTTCATAGGCATATCCTTCTTTAGGTTAGGGAAGTTTTCTTCTATGATTTTGTTGAATATGTTTTCTGTACCTTTGAGCTGTATTTCTTCGCCTTCTTCTATACCTATTATTCTCAGGTTTGGCTTCTTCATGGTGTCCCATATTTCCTGGATATTTTGTGTTAGGGATTTGTTGGTTTTGAGATTTTCTTTGGTTGCTGACTGTATATCCTCTAATGAGTCTTCGACACCTGAGATTCTCTCTTCTATCTCTTGTATTCTATTGGTGATACTTGTATCTGTAGTTCCTGATCATTTGCCCAGCTTTTCTATTTCCAGAATCCCCTCGTTTTGTGTTTTATTGTTTCTATTTCAGCTTTCAATCCTTCAATTGTTTGAGCTGTTTCCTTCATTTGTTTGGTTGTTTTTTCTCGGTACTCTTTAGATTCTTTGAGAGATTTGTTTATTTCTTGAATTTTTCCCCATATCATGAATTTGTTTTTTTCTTCTATTTCTTAAAGGGATTTCCTTGTTTCCTCTTTGAGGGTCTCTATCATCTTCATAAAATAATTTTTAACGTCTGTCTCCTCTGCTTTGTCTATGTAGTGCTTTCCAAGTCTTGCGTTGATTCTCTAGAATCTGGTGGAGTCATGTTGGTCTTTCTATTGCTTAGTGAGCTCTTATTCTGTCTTCTTCCCATCTCTTCTTCCAGTGGGTGCAGGTGGGGTCTTTCTGTCTCCACTGGTCTCCTTCTTTCCTGAAGTTGAAGCTGGGGACACTGACACTGAAGCTAAAGCTGAAGCTTGGGTCACTGGAGGATGGGGCCTGGAAGGGCTGATGCCTTTCCTGTGTGGACGGGTCTTCTGGATGCCTGGAGCAGGCCCCCAGAAGATTGAGGGGATGGGTGTTGGGCGGGGGGAAGGGGAGTGGCCCCATGGAGACCCAAGCTTACCTGAATCTGGAGTTGCTGGAGATTGGGGCCTGGAAGCACTGATGCCTTTCCTGAAGCTGAGGTCGATGGAGGTTGGGGCCTGGAAGGCAATATCCTGGAATTTTTTGTGTTTCCCTATGAAGTTGTGAACTGTCCTTTGAAGATCTGTGAAGAACTGTGTTGGAGTTTTGCTGGGGATTGTGTTGACTCTGTAGATTGCTTTTCGTAAGATTGCCATTTTTTACTATGTTAATCCTCCCAATCCATGAGCATGGGAGTCTTTCCATCTTCTGATATCTTCTTTGATTTCATTCATCAAAGACTTGAAATTGTTATCATACAAGACTTTCACTACTTCTTATTCATCGCAGAATATTTTGTATTATTTAAGGCTGTTGTGAAAGGTGTTTCCCTGTCATCCCATTCCTCATGTGTATATGGGAGGGCTACCGATTTTTTTGTTAATTTTGTACTCAGCAACTTTGCTGATAATGTTTATCAGCTGAAGGAATTTGCCATTGGAAGGTTTAGGATTACTTAGGTTTATTATCATATTTTATGGAAAAATAAATAAAAAGGAAGGATATTACTGTTTCTGGGTATGTTGGAAGAGTAAGAACTCCTGATAGAGTACAGAATGAACTTGACCCCTGTCCATACCATATGAGGAAAGGGGTAAGGGGAGAGCCAGGAGAATAAAGAGTAGACAAACAAAGACCAGGTAACCAAAATTGCTATATTATATAGGGAAGGACAGCTTGGAGAACAACAGCCCAGGGCCTGGGCTAGAAAAGTTTAGGGTAGGGGGCAGGTTATGCCAGCCATACCCTTAAAGGTTAGGAACTGAGGGATGCTGGAGAGGCAAGTGGCCAGGTTCCCTTTTATGTGATAAATAGGCACTTAAGTTAGCCATTTGTCCTATGTCTGAGATCTAACACATACCTGCAAATAAAGATATTTTGCTTTCTTCCTTTCCTATTTGTATCCTCCTGATCTTTTTCAATTTTCTTCTTGCTCTAGCTAAGACTTCAAGTACTATATTAAATAGGTATAGAGAGAGTGAACACGTTCTCATGTCCTTGATTTTAGTGGTATTGCTGAGTGTATCTCATTTTAAGTTGATAGACTTGCTGTAAAATGACTGTAGATTTGCTGTAAACTGCCTTGATTATGTTTAGTTATGTCTCTTTTATCCTTATTCTCTCTAGGATTTTTATCATGGAGGGATATTAGATTTTGTCATAGGACTTTTCTTCATGTAATAAGATGATCATGTAGTTTTTGTCTTTTGGTTTGTTTATACAAAAAAATCCATTCTAGCCGGGCAGTGGTGGTGTATGCCTTTAATCCCAGCACTTGGAAGGCCAAGGCAGGTGGATCTCTGTGAGTTTGAGACCATCCTGGTCTACAAGAGCTAGTTTCAGCACAGCGTCCAAAGCCACAGAGAAACCCTGTCTCGGAAAACCAAAACAAACAAAAAACTCCAAAAAATCCATTTAAGACTACATTTATTGATTTTCATATACTGAAACATCCAGGTATCTCTGGGATGAAGACCACTTGACCACGGTGAATGGTCTTTTTTATGTGTTCTTGGACTACATTTGTGAGTATTTTACTGGGTACTTTCACATCTATGTACAAAAGAGAAATTGATCTATAATTCTCTTTGTTGATTCTTTATGTGATTTTGGTATTAGGGTAACTGTGGCTTCAGAACATGAATTGCCCAATGTCCCTTCTGTTTCTATGTGTGGAATAATTTCAGACATGTTGGCATTAATTCTTCTTTGCAAGTCTGGTAGACTTCTGTGCTAAAACCGTCTGTCCCTGGGCTTTTGGGGGGTTGGGGACTTTAAATGACTAGTTCTATTCACTAGAGCTTATAGGTCTGTCCAAATTGCTTAGCTAAACTTGATATAAATTTGTTAAGTCATACCTATTGAGAAAATTATCCACTTCTCTGATTTTACAATTTGGTGGAGTATAGATTTTAAAGTGTATCTTTATGGTGCTCTGGATTTCCTTGGTGTTGTTAGGTCTCAAAGAAACCTGGACAAAACTCACTCAGTACATGTGGCTCCTCACAGCAAGTCACCCTGAGAGTGACTTAGGGACTTTGGAAAAAGGAAAGTGTGTCAAGTTTCCTGAGTCATCCTGCTGATTGGGGTGGGGTAGATCACTCGGAGAGGAGAGATACTTTGCCAGACTTCGAGATAGCTCTCAATGGATGCCTGGCTATGTGTAGGAGATTGATAATTTGGGAGCTCAATACAATGGCTTGGCAGATATAGTGGCAGGAGTTATGGAATGTTCTTCTTTTAATATGTCCTTGTCCTCAAATCAGGCTTCTGGTCACAGGACTGAAAAGAAGTGGGGATAGTGGATGTCCATGTCTCATTCTTGACTTAAATAGGATTGTTTGTTTTTCTCCATTTAGGATTTCAGCTATGGGATTCTCATATACAATTTTCACTATGTTCTTGTATGATCCCTCTAGTCCTACATTCCTGAGAACTTTTACCATGAAGGCATATTAGATTTTTGTCAAAGGCTTTTCTGCTTCTATTGAGATGACCATGCAATTTCTGTTTTGAAGTCCATGTGGTTTATTATGTTTCTTGTTGTAGTTGCATATTTTGAGGTAACACTATCAAAGTATACTGCAAAACAATTGCATTACCAAACCAAAAGTTGTACTTTATTTTGAAATGATCATTAAGTATACATGTACTACATTTTCACTATACATTTGTCACTTGTAGAACATATAGGTTGTTTCAATTTCTTAGCCATTGTAAATAGGGCAGCAATGAACATGGCTAAGCAAGTATCAGTGAATAATTATGTCGAGCCCTTGGGCATTTGTGTGAAAGAGTGGTATAGCTTGGTCATCTGATGAATTTGTTTTTAGTTTTCTGAGCCTTATCCACACTGATTTTCAAAGTGGCTCCACCAGTTTGCAATCTCAACAACAGTGAGTGAGGTTTCCCTTTACTCAAAAACCCCCTCCCACTCTTCATTGTTTTGTTGATCTTTGCCATTCTAACTGGGCTGAGATACATGAAATCTCAAAGTTGTTTTGCTTTTCCCAATTACTGGGAACAATGAACATTTTTGAGTTATTCTTAGGTGCTATTTTAATCATTTGAGATCTTTCTGTTCAGATTGCAGGCCCATTTGGGGGGATTAAATATAATTACAACATTTAGTCCTTTCCTTTCCTCCTTAGAAAACTCCCATATACACTTTCCACTCACCTTCAAATTCATAGGCCCAATTTTCAAATGTGTCATTTGGGTCTTTTGCTGGTTTTTTTAGTTCAATACACATTCTGGATACTAATCTACTGTACAAAGAATAACTGGCAGAGAATTTTCCAGTTTTATTTGGGCTTCCTCTTCACCTGGTTGGCTATTTGTTTATCTTCCCAGAAACTAAAATACTTTTATGAAGTCCTACTCAGTGTTCATTTTTGGGCAAATTGAGTCCTATTGAGAAAGGCCTTCCTGTTGTGGAATATTGACCAGAGAAGACTACTCTGACATGAGTTTACGACAATAGAAAGTCTTTATTAGGCCACCAACTACATTGGATGTTCAGGATCCCAGTGTAGCCCTGAACATTTCTCAGGGTGAGCTTCTAAGCATGAAAATCATGTTCTGGGTTGACATACTTCAGTTAGCCAGAAAAGAACCATAGAAGCCGAAAGGCAAGGTTAGCATATTTAGAGACTTTCCTAGAACTGTGGACTTTGATGGATTGGTCTTTGTTTTTGTTTTGACAAATGTTAGTGCCCACATGTTGAGTTTTATGGCCCGAATGGTACTTCCATCATGGAGTCAGTTGTGCTAAGGTCTGGGACTCTGTTATATTCTTCACTGGTTTTACTGAATGGGTCAAATCGTGGATTCATCCTTCTCTAAAGAAGTGTAGTTGGGTAAGGACCATCAGTTTCACCAAACTGATAGATAATTGACCATATAGTTTAAGATGCAGTGCATCACCAATAATTCCATCAGAATGAGAATTAAAAGCCTAGCCAGTGCTGATAGCAGAGTAGTTAGCCAGGGGAACCAAGAGAACAGAGATTTGTACCAATGTTGAATTTTTGTTTGGTTCCAACCATGGCCATGGCAAAACTTCTTTTTTTTCTTTCCTTTTTTTTGCTCCTGATCAATTAGCCTAGAAACAACAGGTTTTTCCAAAAGCCATAAATACTTTCTTATATTCCATTAGAAGTAAGTCTAAGCCTGTTCAATTTTGAGGAACCACTTCTGTAAAGGAATCTAAATGATGTTTTAATTCAGAAGCTGAAACTTTTAATACCTCTAGATCTGATCAACCAGTCTACTTAGTTTGGAAAGCATCAGAAGAGACATATTTATTCAAACCATTAGTATATGGCCATCAAATAATCCCAGGAGCTCAGTAATATTGCTGTTATCCTGATGAATTAACTCATAAGGCAGAACAGCAGGTATCAGATGAAGGGGAAGTACCTAGGTTAAAAGTTTTGGATATTAGACAAATTTCAGGCCCTTGAAAACTATCAAATGTTAATTTAGGCTGCCCCCAATCACAGTGAGTTTTGTCAGTTAATGGGCTGACAGTCTGGTTATCACAGGGGCCAAATAGCTATGCATAACTAGTAATCCTGACTGATTTCTGGCTGGGATTGGTGAACTCTATCCCTCAGAATCCCTTCCCATGGCATAGAGTCTGATTCCCCACATTTTCAGTTTCCCAAAGGCCAGAATAGTTTTTAAAAGGAATTTCCAGAGTTTTTATTTCATAGTCATTGGATTACATTTTCTATCATGCATTTCTTGTCAGGAGTCTTTATTTCTATATATTTATTTGTATGTTTTTAGAAAGTCTCTATGGTGCAACCTCAATTTTTGCAATGGAAACTTTCTGGCAAGTAGGGGGTCCAGTCACAGGGCATGCACACCTTTCCTTTCTCCAGGATAACCAGACATTTAAAGTGGGCACCAATGAGCAAAGGTCAAGATGAAAATTGGTTGCTGGTCTGTAATCCTAGTAACTAATACCTTCACTGTCTTCATCTTCCTCAGTTCATCTCCTTCATCTTCCTAGGCCCAGACCTGAGGGTGGTGAGGTTTGGATCATAACCCTATACTCATACCCATGAAACAAAACATTAAGACTCAGGAGGAGGTAGAGTGGTAGGGAGTGTAGGAGTCTGGAGTCTGATGAAATGGGCCCATGGTCCCAGAGACAGTCCATTTGACAGGGGCATCTGCAGTTTCTACTTTCTTGACCTGGGTGTGGTGGATCCACAGTGTAATGATAACTACCTTCATAGGCATAGGAGTGGAAAGAATAACCATGTAGGGTCCCTCCTAAGTTGGTTCCAGTATCCCTTTGGCTGTCTGTTTGACCCAGATAATATCACTGGACTTGAACAAGTGGAAACTTGGAAACTGGTGGTAGACTTGGATGTTGCCTGGATTTCTTAGATAATTTGATAAATACATATTATGGAAGACTGGAGAGCCTGTAGTGACTTGAGAAGGGAGGTGGCTTCGGGGCTAGGGAAACAGTGGGGGAGGTCATTCAAATGTAATCTTGTAGGGAGCAAATCCCTATCTATGGGGTACAGTGGGTCCTGAAGCAAAGCAAAGGAAGGAAATCTATTCATCCTTTGCTGGAATATAATGAGAGCTTTATTAGAGTTTCTTTTAATGTTTTGTTTATTAGTTTTATCTGCCCATAACTCTGAGGTCTATATGCACAATGAATTTTTCAATCTATGCCTAAAGCTTTAGCTGTTAATTGAGAGGTTTGGCTATGAAAATGGAACCATTGTCAAATCCCCTTGCTAGGGAAGGCCACATCAGGTGACCAGTTCCTGAAGGAGCTTTTAAACTACTATTTGAGGAGTTTCCTCCCAGGTAAATGCATTTACCCACCCAGAAAATGTATCTATAAAAACAGTAAGCACATTTATCCACCCCTGGCAGGCAGGATCTTGGTGAAGTCAGTTTTCCTACACTTCACTGGGATGTAGATCTCTTACTAGGCCCCCTTGCTGGGTAAGGGCCCACTGTATTGTATTCACTTGAGCACAAACCTGGCATCTGGCTGAGACATCCCACACTAAGATGTCTAGTCTAGGTATAACATACTTTGGTCTGAGCAACTCAGAAAGTTTTGTGGACCCCAGATGAGTAACTTGGTGAAGGTCAGTTACCAGAGTCCTAACAGTTATTTCTGGAAGAATAATCTTTCCGTCTGGTGTCCTCCATCAACCTTTGGGTTTGAAATGTTCATTTCTTCTTTACCATGGAGTCTCAGGCAGGTTGTGGTACGTAATCAGAATATCAATATGCTCTACTGGTCTACAGAGGAGGACAATTCATAGAGGAAGCCAAATAGCCTCTAAGAGAGCCAAGATTTTCTCATTTTTAATTTATTTTCATTTTACATACTGGGCTTAGTTCTCCTCCATCTACTTCTCCTGTCCCCACCTCCCCCACCCCACCCCTTTGTTTTTAATGCCCTTACTCTCATTGGTGAGAATCCGTCTTTCTCTATAGATCACACCATGGACATGCACAGTAGTAAAAGCGTACCAACTATCCTTGTGAATGATTTTGCTTTCTCATCTGAGAGCCTGTGTCAGATCAATCAGTCCTGCTCCCCTGGCTGAGGTGCAGTAAGTAGTGCAGCTCCCACATACCTGGTTTCATCTTTCATCTTTTGACATTTATAGATGAACACCTATGGGTCATCATTACACAAGAATGCAGCAGGATTGATGGTGGTGGGTTTCTTATGCTGGACTCTAGGGTGGACCAGGACTAGGCCCTGGTACTGGCCAATATAGTCCTTTGACAGTAAGCCTTCTGGTGTTCCTGGAAGGAGGGCCTCAAACACATTGTGGGGTGCTAGTACATAAGATCTTAATCAGAGTTAACGTGTTTGTTTTCATTAGACTGGCAGTAGCCTATACAGCTCTTAGGTGGGCCATCCTGTGACTACAGGGTCCAATTATTTTGACAGGTATATCACAGGGCATTTCCATGGCTCCATGGCTCCAAGGTTTGGATTAAATGTTTTTTGTTTCATGAATGTTAGATGAAAAGGCTTTGAGACATCTGGAAGTACTAGGGCTGGAGCTGAAGTCAGGGTTGTTTTTAAAGCCTCAAATGCCTTTTGTTTAGTCTCAGTCCAAATTAGTGGCTCAGTACCTCCCGTTGTGCTGGTGTATACAGACCTTGCTATTTCCACAAATCCTGGTATCCAGAAGCAGCAATACCTAGCTGCACCTAGGAACTCTTGAACCTGTCCCTTAGTCTTTGGAGTTGGCATCTGAAAGATGGCAGCGATCCTGCTCTGAGGTTCCTTTTGCCTCTCCTCAGCTGGCATCCAAGTTGGTAGCCTCTGATGTATAAAGCCAGGCTTTCTTAGCTGACACTTTGTAGCCCAAGGTCTGTAGTCCCTCAGTGGAAGCCTCTGACAGAAGGGAAAGGGGTCAACACTTATTGTCTCATCAAACAGGGATGGTGAAATTTTTTCTTTTTGGTTTTTTGAGACAGGATTTCTCTGTGTACCTTTGGAGCTTATCCTGGCACTAGATCTGTAGAACAGGCTGGCCTTGAACTCATAGAGATCCACCTGCCTCTGCCTCCTGAATGCTGGGATTAAAGGATTGTGCCACCAACACCTGGCCAGAATGGTGAATTTTTAAAAGATTTTTTTATTATTTTAATTTTAAACAGCTTGTTTTACATGTCAAACCCAGTTCCCCCTCCCTCCCCTCCTCCTGCACCCCCGCACCATCCCCCCCCCAGCCTCCCACCCTATTGCCAATTCCTTCCACATAGGGGATATCTACAGTCTGTCATTTCACTCAGGGTAGGGTCCAGGCACTCCCCTAAGAGTCCAGGCTGAGAGAGCATCCCTCTTTGTGTTATGAACACACGATGTCTGTTTGTATTCCAGGGATAAACACTGATCCATTGCTCAGGGCCCCATAGGTTGCTCAGGCCAACTCACTGACTCTCACATTCGGGGGGGTCTGGATCAGTCCCATGCTGGCCTCCCAGCTGTCGGTCTGGGGTCCAAGAGCTCTCCACTGTTCAGATCAGCTGTCTCTGATGGTTTTGCCAGCCCATTTTTTGCCAATTTGCTCATCGCTCCTCTCTCTCTGTCACTGGGTTCCTTGGGTTCAGTTCAGTGTTTAACCGTGGATGTTTGCCTCTGCTTCCATCAGTCACTGGATGAAGGCTTCAGGATGGTTATAGACATCAAGTTCATTATCAGGAATGGTCATTCGAGGTGGTCTCTCCACTAATTGGCAAGCTAAGCAGAATGGTGAATTTTTAAATCTTTGAGGCAACCTGGTCCATGTAAATTGCCAATTATGACCTCCCTCTGGGTCTGTGCATTTAAAAGCAAAGGTGGGTTGACTCACCTCTGCCAATGGGAGGCTGAAGAATGAATCTTTCATGTCCAAGACAGTGGACACCTTTTTCTCTGGAGGAATCAGACTCATGAGAATCAGATGTCTTAGACTTCTTCACAGAGTGACTCATTGGGAACCAGGATGCCTGTCTATCCTAGCCTGGAAATATGGACTGCTTTCCCCCTTTCATTTCTTGAGTCATTGGGTATTGCTTAATCTGGATGGAGTAGCCAACCTGGTTAATTGAACAATTATAGGAACTTGGTGTTGGGTCAGTCCTGGGAGGTTGGTTTCTGCCTATACCCCCCCTAATCATTGCTGTCAATCTGAGAGATAGTCCAACTGCATCTTTTGATTGGAAGCAGGACTTTCAGATTGGAGATATTCTTCTAATAGGTGGTAAGACACCAAAATTTTACTGGGTATCTGGGAATCTAACCATGTCTAATCATCAGAAAAGGTGGTAGTAGCTTTCAGTTTATGCAAAAGGTTAGGAGAAAGAGAAGGGGAGAAGGAGGTGGGAGAGGAGGACATGAGGGAGAAGGAAGGTTGAGTTGGGGGAAAAATAGAGGAGAGAAAGGAAAGAGATGCAATAAGAGAGAGAGTCAATATAGGTTTAAAGAGAAATATAGCACTAGGGAAATGTCCAGAGATCTACAAGGATGACCCCAACTAAGAATATAAGCAATAGTGGAGAGGCTACCTTAAATGCCCTTCTCTGATAATGAGATTGATGACTACCTTATATGCCATCCTTGAGCCTTCATTCTGTAGCTGATGGAAGCAGAATCAGACACCCATAGCTAAACACTGAGCTGAACTCCTGGAATACAGTTGCAGAGAGTGAGGAGTGATGAGCAAAGGGGTCAAGACCAGGCTGGAGAAACCCACAGAAATAGCTGACCTGAACAAAGGGGGAGCTCATGGACCCCAGACTGATAGCTGGGAAACCAGCATAGGACTGATCCAGACCCCCTGACTGTAGGTGTCAGTTAGGAGGCCTGGGCAATCTATGAGGCCTCTGGTAGTGGATCAGTATTTATCCCTAGTATATGAATGGACTTTTCGAGCCTAGACACACAGGGCAAGGCCTAGGTCCTGCTCCAAATGATGTGACAGACTTTGAAGATCCCCCATGGAAGGTCTCACTATCCCTGGGGAGCAGAAGGGGAATGGGATAGGGGGTCAGTAGAGGGGAGCAGAGGAGGAGGGGCATGAGAGGGAACTGGGATTGACTTGTAAAACAAGCTTGTTTCTAATTTAAATTGAAGAAAAATGACCGAGCATACCAAGTTGAGGCAGGATCAAGCCCCTCCCCCTGTATCAAGGCTGAGTAATGTTTATATAAAATGAAAAATAAAACTTTTAAATATAAAAGGACCTATAAGAAATTGTTTAAAGTCTCCTTGGTCAGTGTTGGACACAAGGGAAAATCTCTTCTGTCCAGGCTGTACTGCATGGCAGTGATTCTCTGTCCTGGCCAGGGGCAGTTTTTCTACGTTTTTCATAGAATGGTGGGTTTTGAGTTTTCCAATTATAAGGATCGTTGGTTGAAGAACAGACATAAGGCAAGGTTAGTACATTTAGAGACATTCTTTGCCTTTTGGCTTCTATAGTTCTGCTTCTGGCTAAATGATCTTGTCAACTGAAGTGTGTCAACCCAAAACATGTTTTTTGTGCTTAAATGCTCAACAAGAAAAGCTCCAAGCTACACTGATTAATCCCAGTATAGCTGCTGGCTGACTGATAGACATTCTATTCATTTAAACCCATTCCCAAGCAATCTTCTCTGGTGAATACGGCACGACATTTCTGGAGGTCCCATTGAAATCCCCAAAAACAGACCACTAGACAATGGGGGTCTCATTGCTTTCTAACTTTCCTCTCAGTCAACAGTCCTGGAGGTATCCTCTCTGATGCTGGAAATGGAGCCCTCTTGGGGTGTGCTGGCTTTGAGTTCACAGAGGTTCCATGCCAATAACTCTCAATCACAGGTCTTGTTACCCTTCATAGTGCTACCATGAAATTTGTGATTGGCTAAGCCACATACATAACAGATACCCAGGGATAAGTCTAGACCTTGGACCCACTGTGGTTCCTTCTCTGGTATTATCCCCACGTGGCTTACCCAACAAAACAATCTGTCCTTCCCAGTGTCAACTCCATGCCTTCTGTGATCTTCAATCTTATCTCTCTGAGGCCTAGCTTCCTATATAACTCTCTCTCTCTCTCTCTCTCTCTCTCTCTCTCTCTCTCTCTCTCTCTCTCTCACACACACACACACACACACACACAAAGAGACAGAGAGAGAAACATAGAGAGACAGAGAGAGAGAGAGAAAGAGAGAGAGATTATCCTAGATGCATATACACATGTGAACATAAAAATACACACAGAGAGAGGCACACACACACACACACACACACACACACACAGGCACATACATAGAAGCCAATGCTAATCAAGACTATAGAAAAAAATCCATGGATGTGAGGACTATGCTCTGAGCCCCACCACCCCACTCACCAGCCAAGGCATTCTTACTGGGGCCTGACAAGAGAACCTGGAGCTATCTACTAAACCTCTCCTACCCCAGTGACAAGTACAGCTATCAAGCCTGTGATGAGTGTGCAAACATTTGTGACTCGGACCCCAGCAAGCTTTCAGTTGAAGGAGGTCTGCCTCTAAAACACTTCCAATTGGACCCTGTGCTAGTAGGACAGAGGAATGGTGGTGGCTAAGACGTAAGGGCATAGGGGACATTGGGCACAACATACACAAGAGAGAAGATCTGCCTCCTTGCATGTACCCCAGGGACAGTAGTCACTTAACCCCAGAGATTTAGGAGCTGTCTATTTGACTTCTCCCGCCAGGCTAACCAGTACAGCTGTCAAGTCTGTCATGGATATACAAACACTTAGAACTCAGAGCACTAGCAAGCTTCCAGTTGAAAGAGACCTACCTCCAAAACCAACACAGGCAGACTGTGGTAGGACTGAGTGTTGGTGGTGGCTGACAGCTCAAGGCATAAGGGAAGTTGGGGAGATGCCATAAGGGAATAGAGCAGCCACATCCCTGTGTCCTTGTCACAGTATTCCCCCCACCACTTAGTTAACAACACAGCTCTGTCATTGGACACAGGGCAAAGCAAACGCAGCTGTATTCACTTGTGAAGGCTCCAGTTTTTCAAGCCTGAGAAGGGGGTATGATGGGAGATGAGAAGAGCTGCCAATAACTGTAATTCTTCTTACCATGGACACAGGGCAGGGCTTTCAGGTACCCAGCCATCTGGGTTCATTTGGGCACTGGAACACACCCTTCACACTGGGTGCCACAAGGGGGCAGCATTCATCCACAGCCTCTGCTGAAAAGGCAAGGCAGCTAAGGACCCTGTTGTAGGGACAAGGACACATCAAAAGAAGTAACATTCTGTCCCACATGCCCTGTTGCCTACCAGGTCCTGGGACCCGTCCCCCACCCGAAACATCACGTAGGAATCGCCAGGCAACCCTTGTGAACTACCTCTGGCTCTGTCACAAACTCTCTCCTCTCCACAGCCCTCCATCCCTACCAGTGACCCAGGAAACTTCTCTTACCTTTCTCCAAAGTTCCCAATTCCTTCTCAGTATTGAGTTCTCTGTAGACACCCATATACTTGTGTTTGGAACTAGGCATACATGCAAGGATGGAGAGTCAGAGGTGGGGAGGAAGGAGAGGGGAGCAAAGAATGAAAGATAAAAGATCTTTTTTATGTTGTAGCTCTCTGTATCCCAAACACCACAGACAGGTTCCAGGATTTCCAGTGCAAGGCTTGACTCTTTCAAATTAGCTGAGAGTGGGCCTGGGTAGCCCAGAAAGGAGATAAAGTGACTGTTCACTGTTTCACATTACTATTGTATGTGAGGAGGCCAGGAAGGGGGTCCCAAGAAATTTCACCAGATCCCTTAATGTCAGATGCATTCTCCTGGGCAACGAGCAACTGGTTTTCCCTTCTGGATATTGCAGTCACATGACATAGGTGTATAGGCTTCCTGTATCTCCCAGGACTTGACCTTTGGGAGTCTACACTAGTCCAAGCTGCCTATACCTTGATTCTCCAATGGACTTCCAATTCTGCATCCTGTTCTGCTGGGACCCAAGCAGAATCAGGGAAATATTTTCGGCATCAATAAGACAATTCTGCTTCAGGGCAGTAACACACTGAGAAAAACAGCCAAGCTCTTAACCCAAGTCCACTCCAGGGGTGATACATTTTTAATGAAAATATCTTTTACATTCTAAAAGACTGAAAATTTTGTTTATTCTCACAACTAGGGTTAATAATGTACTTTGAGGTCACTTCGGACTTAATACTGATAGCCTACTATACTCATATTTTGTTGTTTAACATGCTTTTAAGAGATCAATTCAACAACCATCCTTTCTTGCTTTGAGTGTCCCAAGTAATCCTCCAGTATAATCTGATCTAAATGCACAGCTGTTAGTGTAAGGTATGCTCTTTTCCGTGCTCCTGCCATAGAGTGTAATGAATGTGTGTTTGGATATGTGTTATGATAATCACATTCTGACAACAGTAAATAGGACAATAGCTGTCTTATAAAATGACTATCCACTGTAAATGTTGGATACAGCATAAGACAGTGGTTGACAAGCAATGGCGCTTGTAATATTTTTTCTTATCTAGATCAGTTGGGGTCAGTTGGAGTCAGTGACTTATTCCTTTGTAAAGCTCTGTTAAATATTTCTTTGAAGTATTCCTAATTTCTTCCCCCATATGATGCTTTCTGTGTTGTTCAAGAAAAGGGAGAGAGAAGCAATTTCTTAGGGACAGACACAGGTCCACACAAAGAACACACACAGGGTCAGAGGAAAACATTTTTCAAAGTCTGTGTTCAAAGGTATACAGCCCAGACCCATGCAACAGATCAACAGGCACAATGGGGAGAGAAGTAAAGAATTCAAATTGGGGCTCACCCTTGTTTAAATCTCCCCAGGAGAAAGCATTTAAATTTATTATCCTTAATATGATGTTGACAGGTTTTGACTTCTCTGAGGTTATTAATACATTAAAGCAAATGCATTTTGGTGCCTTGGTTGAGGAAATTTTTGTCTAATAGGATGTATTGCTCAGCATTTGCACAGGGTGGAGCTGTTCATCATCATGTGGAGAAAGTATTTTCCATTGAAGGAGGTATCAGTGCTTGATTACTGAGGACTAAGTACTGAAAAAAGCATACCTTTATCACCCAAATATAAAGAAATAGTACTGCAATCCTGTAAATCAATGACAATAATTTGGTAGTTTTGAATGACCATGGTAGGAAACAGAACTCCAGGCTGAAGAGCATCAAAGAGATACATATGAATGTTGATAGCATGGGTATAGGAGGAAACAGTGCTCCGCCAGTAACCATGTGACTTTTTAGAGGCACATACAGATGAGATAATAAGAGGGCGGTTTACCACTCTGCTAACCACCCCCATTTTAGGCATGACTAAAGACATATATGGACGTAGGCGGTGAACTACCTCACCAGCCAGGCCCACTTTTGGGCATGGCTAGGGGTATTATGGAGGAAGGTGTAAAAGACTGAACAGCAGAAGTCTCACTCTCTTTTCTGGCTTTCCGGCTCCCAGTTTGGCAGTGGAAAACTACTTGGCTCATCTGGGTTACTTGCTTGTCTCTTGTGAGTAATTTCTACAATAAATACTTACTTATACTTTCAGTAAGTGTGCCATTTATCGTTGCTGCATCACACAGTTATAATATTTTGTCTATCAACATTTAGCAAGATTTAAAGAAAATATCATTCATCCCATCCTTGTGAGTACAAAGTTCTATATGTAGCTTATCTTTTATCATAACTAAGGAAAACTATAATTACAACTATCTGTCTTCAACTCTATCAAAGACCACCGAAGGATAATATATAAATACTAGGATTGACAGAGACATCTTGCTGCCTGGGAAGTCACCTGAAGTTTCTCTGTAATGTTGGAGCATCCATCTTCAGCCCATAGGCGACAGTGTGTCTGGAAGACTTTTCAGCAAAGCAGGAAATTTCAAACTGTCTATCTGTATCAGCAGTCTGTCAGTCATTTTTCTGTGTCCTGCAGAAAGTCTCATAGACTCTTTCATGAATCAGGAACCCTGTAGGACTGTTTGAGTTCAGAAGTCACTTTCCTGTGGGTCCTGCATGTCAAGATTATGTAACAACAGTCAAGCAGTCCAGGAAAGAGCAGTTTCTTGCCCAAATGGCTAATCTTGCCATGTTGAAAGCAAACTCCATAACGAGTTTCTTTAATGCCCATCTTCCTCTCAGATGTAATTGGTGCTGCCAGGAGCAGACATTTCTCATTGTCAAGAAAAACCCTAAACCATTTTAAATGCCATTTTCTGAAAGTCTTTGAAAGGTTTGAAGACTGTGTATCTCAAATATATTTCTGTATATCTAGAAAACCTAACTATAAGTTCTGACGATTATGAGTAACTATCTATAGTCTGTATTCAATTATGCATTATGTTTTAAAAGATCAGTATAAGCACAATACTTAATCAAGAGAAATATACACATCACAAAATTGACCTTGAATTTGTATTAATAAATGAAAAGTCATAGCAATACAGAGTACTCATTTCCAAACCACAATCCCCTTTTTCCTTTAAAAAAAAGATTGGTTGTGATCATTAATCAATTATAAGTAACTCCATTCAAATGCAAACAAAGATTTATGAACAATATGGGGATTTGGATGTCGCTCATTCCAAACTGCTTTGTGCTGGATGGGGGCGCTGTTCCTACCATGGGGATCATAAGAAAATGCAGAAACCTGTATAAGTCCTTAAGGGTCTGTAAGGCTCTATAATCTTAGCTGTTTTAGATGTCGAATCACTTGCGCCATTGCTTCCGGGGGTCTTGGTTCATCAAACCACAGAAGCCTGGAAGGAATCCACAGCTTTCCATTTTCTGTAGAAACATAAACAAAAACACTTTTCCAAAGTAACATATCCTTATACTTAACTTTTGAAGTCAAGGCATTTTCAAAAGATATATGTTGAATTAATTCAGCAGCATTTATAATCAAGAGTACTTTAGCAGTTGTTCCTTCCTGAGCAATCAAAAAACTGAAAAACACAATAACATACAGTATCCAGACTTTCTGTGTATTTTTCATCTTTACATGGCTTATTTATTTATCTATTATTATAACTCTATTTCTTTTACTTATATTTCTTCATTTATTTCTCTGAGACAGGGTTTCTCTTTGGAAATCTGCCTGCCTCTGCCTCTGCAGCAAATCCAACTGTCTTGCGCCACCAAATCCGGCTTCTCTATTTACCACTATGCCGTTTCTTTATCTCTCTCAATCTTGAAATAGTTATATGTCCAAAGGAAAACATTGTATCTCAGCTACCCCTGCCTGTTGGAACCTGAATCCCTTAGATTCTCCTCAGGATTACCAGATTATTAATATCTTGTGGTATGCTACAATTTAATATTTCTACCTTCACAACTCCTTCATGGTCACTCAGTATAATTTTACTTTCTCTAAAGGAGTTCATGTCCCTTTGAGAGTTGTAACTTGCTTTTTCTTCTCCTGCTGAATAGCTATCTACTATACTTGCAGCCCAATACACATGCAGGACAGGAAGTAGAGGCTTGGAATTCCTGTGGCAGCCATGTTTGAGAGTGTGGGAGGAGCTCTCCGCCCAGGAGTCATCTGTCTTGAAGAAGATATGTGAACAACCTGCTTGTGACTCCTTCACATTCTCCTACCACTATCAAGGAGTGAAGATAGTACAAGTAGACTTGGGGACAACAGTGTCACTGCCTACATGAAATTGTTGGACCCCAAGATGACCCTATCCCACTTTTCCTGGAATCACATACTGCCTTTGGGATTCTGACCTCTGTTCATGGTCTTGGGGATCCCCATAAATTCCACAAAGAGATTATATAATTGTCAGTACTTCTTCTTTTCTTCATTCCCTTCTTTCTCTCTCAGACGTCCTTCCTCTATTCCATCCTTCTTTTCTATTGTCGTTTTTACTTCTTCCCTCCAGTTCATGCTCACATACACAGTCTGTTCTCTGTAGCACATTCTTGATGCTCCAGTACTCTTCTGGTGTAAAAGACATGCGTGTGTGTGTGTGTGTGTGTGTGTGTGTGTGTAAAAGACACGCTAGTGTGTGTATAAAACACTGCATTTCTTCTCCTGATGCCTACACTTTGTCCTTCTCCATGTGTTCAGATGTGAAGGAGAAACCAAGATGAAGTTGTTCACTTCTTTCCTTCTCTTTCTCCTCCTCCTCCTCCTCCCCCTCTCCCCTTCCCCCCTTCCTCCTCCTCCTCCTCCTCCTCCTTCTCTTCTTCTTCTTCTTCTTCTTCTTCTTCTTCTTCTTCTTCTTCTTCTTCTTCTTCTTCTACTTCTTCTTCTTCTTCTTCTGGTTTTTCAAGACAGGGTTTCTCTGTATAGCTTTGGAGACTGCCCTGGAACTAGCTCCATAGACCAGGCTGCTCTCGAACTCACAGAGGTGGATTTATTTTGAGTTTAACCCAAATGTGACACCAAGGACTGCCTGAGGAAAGTTCTGCACTATGGTTGTGGGAGTGTCATCCTGGCAGGAGCCAAGAGACCTGGAATCTCTATCATGTGTTATGGTGTCCTAGAGTCTATGTAAATACCATCAGACAGCTTTCTTCTGTGTGGATAGAGGGTTACAGATATCTGTACTTGACTGCATGCCCATGATAAAGAAAGGTTCGTGTACAGGAGGGATGCTGTCCTTTGGAGAAAGGAAATAGTGAAAAATATCTTGAGTGGCAGTGCCTGTGTGGGGTAGAGAGAACTATTGTTTCCAGACAATAAGATCATAAGGTTTGTTTTCTGTGAAGGCCCCAATAGATGGTTTGGAACCACAACCCAGGATCTCACAGGCTGGTACCAGCTGGGATGGACTAGCAGTTTTTCTTTGATATCTTGTAGTTCCCAGTGAGGGTCCCTGGGAACCTCATCTTTCATCAGAGGTGGAGGTGCATCAACACAAAGCTCATGTGAGATTTGAAGATGGCCGCAGATACATATGAATTCACAGACAGGGTCCTAGAATGCACAGGTTGGGGGCTTAGGGGAAGAAGAACAATTGGTTTCTGTGATATTAGTCCTTTCTACTCTGACTCCCACCCATGGCATGAGGAACTGGGGGAATAAAAATAGAAACAATACCTATGTCTTCTGTCCTGTTTATAAGTCATGGTTTCCTTCTGCCTGGTATGAACCCATCACTAGTCCTCCCAGGTCCTGCATGGGTACATGATTGTCTCTCTTCTGCCAACTGCCCAACTACTTCTCTGTCCTAACCCTTTCCCTGTCAGCATCCTGTGTGAGAGTTGGGAGGGGTCACCTAACCATAAATTCCATTGAGTCATGGTTTTCCAGAGCCTGCACAACCATGGTAGGCATGGAAAATATTGGTCACCGTTGACCCCAAAGTCATGGTGCTAACTGTGACTGCTTCATACATGTGACATGTAAAGTGTTCCTCCAGGGCTGGGGGTGGGGTTGGGATGTGTTCCTCCCTCAGTCCAGTTCCTGCCCAATGTTCTATTTCTCTGATTTCTCATAACTTTTGCATCTAGTGGTAGGTATTCCAATTAGTAATTTAGTATTCCTGCTGGTGTTTATGACTTACAGAACATCACATGCCCTTGTGGTGGAGTGACTGAATATAATTGGACTGAGGAAACTGGGACAGCATGTTTATGTGAGCATGTTCACAGGCTCGCACATGCACACACAGAGAGAAACCCCACTTCATCCCCCAAACAGGGCACTCCCCCATACCACCACATTCCCATCCCCTGCAGGCAGATCCAAATTCCAAGGAACACCTATGGGCAGAAAAATCCAGGACTAAACTCAGCCTCCTTGCTGTCTAGTGGTAAGCAGTTGGTCTGATAGGTTTTTGTTTTTTTCCTCAGAGAAGGGCGGAGGGAGAGACCCCGGGAAAAGGGTGTCTGGGCACACTTGGTACAACACTGCCATCAGGTGGACTCTGGTACTAAGACTGAGGTGAAAGCACCTCCAGGCAGGATTCCAGTCCTAGAGTAATGCAGGGATCTGGCAACTTGTTGGGGCACTCTCTCCCCACCTCCCGAGGCTCATGCTACCCTAGAGCAAAACCCAGAGCTACACAGCAAGTGCAGGCTTGGATTTCCTGTGGTAACCATGTTTGTTACAGTCCTAAAGAGCTCTCTTCCATGAGTCAACTGCCTTGGAGAAGATATGTGGGAAACCTCTTAGTGACTCCTTCATATCCACTTACCAACATCATGGACTGAAGACACCCCAAGTAGCTGTGGGCTGTGGGTGACAATCTGTCACATGTCAGTTGCCCATACTCTGTCCTCTGTATACTCTCTACCAGCAGACAGGTGTGTGAGGGTGTGAGTGGCATCAGGTGACCTTGAACTAGAACCTTGATTGTGGCCAGGCTATGTCTGTACTCACATGGGAGGTCTGGACACTGCATGTGCTACTGCTGTCTCCTAGTGTCAAGTTGCCAGCTAAGGGCCCTGTGCACATGTGCCAATTAGAGTGCTCCTATCATATTATGACAGGAATGATGGTACTCAGGCCTAGGACAAGTTTCAGCCCAGGTTTTTGCTGCTGTGGCTTCTCCTGACTTTTACATCTAGTGAAGAGGAATCCAATTAGTTTTCCTGAATGGTGTTTCTATGTTGTGGGTGTGGTATGCCATCGT